TTTAAAAATTTATATCAAAATTGCCTCAAAACTACTACGATGAATTTTTATTAACAAAGTTAAAATATTTTATTTTTAAAATATGAATTAAATAATTTTTTATCTTCTCTTCTTATATTTTATTAATTTTAATTTTTTTTTTTTAATTTTTAGAAGATAAATAAGATGAGTACTAATTTCTTAAAATAATAAACCATGGAAATGAGATTTGGAAATGTTATATAGGAGTATGCTAGCTCCTTCTACAGGTAATACAAGATTTCAATCTAAAACTAAATGTAATAATAATAAGTAAAGTAATTTATATTATATTTGGATTACATTTTTTTCTTTTATTTTTAATGTGAGAATCTTATTTAAAACACCCTTATATTTAAGATTATTATTTAAGAATATATATACGACTTCTCTCTATAAGGAATATATTTCTTAATACTTATTTTTAGAATTTATAGTTAACCCAAAAAAAGAAAAAGAAAACTTATTCCTCTCTAAACCAAACATACATTTGGATTGAGAAATTAAATCAAAACTCTAGGAAAACTTTCATACTTGTGATAATAAAGAAAAATGCGAGAAGGAGAGAGTTGAAGTTTGTTGAAATGCTCTGTTTCTTGGTGTTCCACTTTGGATGTTAATTACTAAGTAATTTCCGCACTAACAATCGCTGGGGCTTTATCCTTTTCCTTTCCTCTGATGCTTATGAAATTTCACGAAACCACATGTGTAACTGCACCAAACCGGAAGTCCTCCTTCAGTCCGTATCTGCACCCTGCATTGACCTGCAAAGCCCCGAGGTGGATCCTCGGGGTAGACACTCCGATGCTTAAGTCAGCAATAATCGAGGCTACCTTTAGAGCGGAGAAACAAGGAGCTTAGGGTTAGTTTCAATTACCTTTTTGGCGTGGCCCTTGAGGGGTATTTATATGTTCCCATGAACAAACCACGTGGCATGCCAAGCAAAATATTCGGGATCTGATGTGTATCTCCAGGCAGTTATTTCGGGATTTGATGCGTATCTCCAAGCAGTTATTTTGGGACCCAAAGATTGAGCCAAGCAGGATATTCAAGATTTGATGTGAGGATGTCCATCGTAACTACTATGCTGCTGTTTGAGCCGAAAGCTCTGGATTTATTTCTTACTTCGGTTGTAAAAGAATTACTGCCGTACGTCCGAGGTTGAGCACCTCGGACCTGCCCTTACACTATTCCCCCCTCAAAGTCATTCATTTGTGAATGATGTTATTGGGAGTGATAGGGGTAATGCATAAATAGGAGTGAAAGAAAATACAAGATGAATAAGTTATAGAGATAGAAACGAAAATCAGTACCGTAAAAGTATGTATCGCCATAGCGAATAATGAAATAAAGAGCCATAGCAAGGGACAGTGGCTTGAGCCGTAATGAAAAAAATGACCGGAGTCATAGTGGCCGGAGCCAAAGTAAAATATGTGAGACGGGGTCACTGTGGCGGTAGCCGAAGTGAAACGTGTGACACTTGGTCACTATGGCCGGAGCCAAAGTAAAACGTGTGACACTGGGTCACTGTGGCCGTAGCCGAAGTAAAACGTGTGACTCTGGGTCACTGTGGCCGTAACCGAAGTAAAAGGTGTGACACTGGGTCACTGTGGCCGTTAGCCGAAGTGAAACATGTGACTCTGGGTCACTGTGGCCGTAGCCGAAGTGAAACATGTGACTTTGGGTCACTGTGGCCGTAGCCGAAGTAAAATACTTGTGCAAAATTTAAAATGGATAAAAGTGAGCAAGAGTGTTGAAATGGGCTTAAGCAGGCCCACCTGAGAAGTCTGACAAAGAGGTGGTACGCGACGCGACAGCTGTCCTTTGAATGACGTGCGTAATAAATGCCGTTGTAAAAAGATAAATGTAACAGTCCAACGGGCAGATGTAAAAACGAACCGTCAAGTTTGAAACGGTACCATTTGGGGTTAATCGTCGAATTCGAAACGGTGTTTTTGCAGCCGTTAGATGGGTTAATCACAGCCATTGAGGTGTATTTTGCCTTTGGTATAAAAGGCTAGACTTCTGTAAAGAGGGATTTTTACTTTCGCG